GGAGCCACCTAGTACGCTGGGCGTACTAGGCACGGAATGGAAACCCTAAATGAGGGGGTGACCCTATATATAGAATGATATGGCCTCATTCCTGGCCACCATCCTCAGTCAATAAACCCTCTCAAACCTTAATCCTCGTTCTTGAGCTTATGTGTGACCATGGTGAGCTTGTAAGTGTTATTGTGGGATTATTAGAGTGAAGAAGGAGCATGGAAGAGAATAGAGTTGGAGTCTAGGCTTTGGATACAAGCTTTTCTGTGGTTGGAGCATCATTTGAAGGTATAAAGCTCAAAACTTTCTCATCCTTTTGTTTTGTGCATGATATGGTCCATTTTAGGGTTTTTGGTCCCAAAGCTTGAGGCTTTATGAGTTGTTGCACTCCAGAGCTTATTATCTGTCCTTTCAAGTGTTTCTAGTGGAGAGGATCCATAAAAATGAGGTCTTGAACATTAGAATCAAGTCATGCATGAGTTATGAGTTTTATGAGAAAAGAGAATGAGTGTTTTGAGTGTTGATGACTAAATCAGCCATGCAAAGGCTTAAAGTCACTGAATTTATGGAGTAAGAGATATTAGGGGGTCCAGATCTGAGAAATGAGTTAAGGTCTTAACGAGTTAAGACCAAGAGGATGGACTAAGCAAAGCTGGGCGTACACCCAACGTAATTCCATTACGCCCCGCGCACTGGGTTGGTGTCCCTGATTAGATTCGTGCATGCTAGTGTACATTGAGCGTACCAAGGAAGGTACGCCCCGCGTAACCTCTCTGTGAACCTTTGGGCTGAATTTATTATTGGGCCCTAAGGGTTGGGCCTGGACTTTTGGGCTTGTATATTAGTGACTTTGAGCAGAGAAATATTATATTGTGCTTTGGGCCCTTGAGTTGGGCTTTCCATTTAGATTGAGAGTTGGGCCTTGGGAGAGCCCAATTATTATTGGGCCTTGGTGGGCCCAATGGGTTTTAGGTCATCAATGGGCTGGTTAGTGGACTACCTTTAGACCTAATGAGTGAGAGTTTGGACTTAGTTCCTAATTGGGATACTTGTGGGTTTGGCACAGAGTTAGTGGCCGATGCATAGCAGCAGCGTTTATAGGGGTCATTCATCATCCGAGGTGAGTCTTCTCACTATACATACCTTGAGTGGTGATTTGGGTGACCGGAGGGTCTTATGTGCTTATATTGAGTATTGTGTTATCCTGCATTATGTATTTGTGATTTATGTTGTGTGTTACGCTGAGCTTTATTGAGTTAGGACCGGAGGGTCCACCCGAGTTGTGGGACCGGAGGGTCCCACTGAGACACATTGACCGGAGGGTCGTATCTGAGTTATAGCCATGAGTGGCTAATGGGATATGTGTGGTATTTTGGGGAACTTACTAAGCTTCGTGCTTACCGTGTTATGTGATATGTGTTTCAGGTTTTTCTCAGGATCGCGGGATGACGTCGGCTTGATTGTACACACCAGAGAAAGAGTTATGTTTTGAGGATCCTGGAGTCTTAAATATACATCTATGGAGTTGTGATTTGTGAATTAAATAAATGAGATTATTGTGAAATGTGTTATGAGAATTATGTGATTTAAATGAAAATTTTGTTTGAAAATTTACGGTGTCACAAGTTGGTATCAGAGCCTTAGGTTGAAGGATTCAGATGCACCTTCGGGCATATCTGGACTCAAACTGAGGATTTGAGAAATTTTTTCAAAAGAAATGATTTTCTAAAACGAGCAAAAGTTTCTAAGAGAAAAACGAGGAGTAGTGTGTACAATCAGCCAGAGTCCGAACGGTGATTTCCCAAAATACCCTTACTTATTTGTGTTATGAGTTATTATTGAGATATTAGTGATGCATGCTAGAATATAGGCTAGGTATTTCATATCTTAGGGATAGAGTTGCCTGATTTGTGATGCCTTAGCCTATGAATTTTGCTATCTGTGATGTGCTTTGAGTATGTTTGTTGGGCAAGATGACTAAGTCACCTTGTTTGTTGGACAAGATGACCAAGTCTTGTTTGTTGGGCAAGATGACTAAGTCACCTTTCACAGGTACTTGTGAAATAGGTGAAGGTTTGTTAGACCTCGTCCATATTGATGTATGCGGTCCTTTCAGATCCACCACAAGGGATGCTAATCGCTACCACGCGATGTTTATTGATGATTATAGTAGATATGAGTATATCTACTTAATCAAACATAAATCAGAAACTTTTGAAAAGTTCAAAGAGTTAAGAATGAGGTAGAGAATCAATTAGGCAAGAAGATAAAGATGTTTCGATCTGATAGAGGTGGAGAATATCTTAGTAACGAGCAAACAAAAAATCCCCCGAATAATCCAGATCCAAAGTCCATTTATATTTTAGTCAAAAAATAAACAGAAGCTAATATTTGATTAAATCTATAAAAATTTAGCATTATCTCCCCCTCTAATTTGACGTCACCACTTCTAAATCCAAACACCATCAAGCCTTTTTATCTTTTAAAAATGCAATTTTCTTCCAAGCCACATGAAAACGTCTCGTGAGCACCGACATTAAAGACACATTCCCAATCCATACGTCTTTCCAAAAAGTAAGTCATCGAACCATCACTAGTTTTTTTTCTTATCAAATAATACACAATACTTTTTCATATAGCCGTCTCGTAATTTTCTCCCACACCATATAAATCTTCAAGTCTTCACCCATGGTAGCTAAACCATCAAAATTACCATGAATAATGGTTATTATTCTAACCCATAGATTATATTAATTATTTAAAATTTTCAACCTCCATTTTTGAAGGACTATATTAAATCCTACAAGACTCCCTCATTTCTCTTTAAAATTCATGAGCATGTTCCCACTTTACCCAACCAATAGTCATTTCGTTGCCTTCAATCCCCCCTCCCTAAAAAAACTTGGTTATAATGGATTCCAATATATTATTAACTTTGAATGGCATTTTAAAAATCGACATATAATGCATTCCAAGAGAACCAAACACCAGCTTTAGTAACATAGACCAAGTAACATAGCCTGACCAATAATGCATTTTCCTTTCCATCTAGAGAGTATATTAGCCTTCCATCCAAGACATATTCAACCCCAACAGAATTCCCAAACAAGTGAAAGGCAAAAAAAATCCATGACACACCTTGTCAAAACAACAAAGTTTTGCACTTCTTCCTCATCAACCCTGCTCCAAACAATCTCGATTTGTGAAGATTTATCCTCAACCTATAAGCTAAGTAAAAGCAACAAAGAATACATGATAGATTATTTGTCTTCTCGTGAGACCAATGACCTAATATAAGAGCATCATCGACATACAATAAATAAGAAATATGCAAACCTTCCTTAATAATGGTCACCCCTTAATGCAATAGAATATGTAGATCGGTGTTTTATAGACATTTATAATAATTCACCGACCATATTTGTTTTTAACATAAGTTTATTGTTAAATGCGTACGAAAGAGAAAAAAGTGGCTAAATATATAATTGAAAAAGTTGGTTACGCTCATAAGTTTACCAGTCACCAGAAACCAAAAAAAAAACCTTTAATTGGTGATCATAATGGTTTTTTTGAACATTGTATGTAAGTTTATTGGTCTTATATGTACACAAAAAATGACTAAATGTGTAAAATTACAAAACCTGGTTACATTCACAAATAATTATCTCATTTGGTAAACAATAAACCTCACAAAAAAGACACAACCCATTCACTCAACTCAAAATAAACGAGTTTAAGTTAGAGATTTCAACCTGTTTAAGTAAACGAGTTGACACGAGACGATTAATCCCCGTCCAAGTCGATTTGAGGCCCAAAACAAAAGAAAATACGAGGCCTTTCAAAATACCATAAATTATAATCAAATAACTAAAAGTGAAGTATAATAAGGTTTAACAATTGCATTAGAATAATGTACATGTACAATTGAAGCCGAGCCTATAGGATGACATTTCAATCTTCTAAATATCTCTTCTATTCTTTCACCCCCACTCATTTCCAAGAGCATGCATCACCACATTAGATGCAGTTTTAGGATCTTGAGCACCGAAACTTACTAACTTTTGTACCTATATAGTTGGGACCAAATCAGGCTTCCAAAACAACTTGAGCAAGCTACTCATAAACATAATTTCATATTGCCTTTATTAGTAAAACAAAAGACTAAACTGCACAAATGGTCCCTGTGATTTGCTCAAAATTGCCACTTTGGTCCAAAAAGATTTGGACTAACACCAGAGGTCCAAAGTTTTCATTTTGTTGCTTGTTTGGTCCAATCTGTTTTATTTTTTTCAAAAAGACGAATTTGCCCCTGTTAATATGATTTTTTTTCTTGTTTTTTTTTTTTTCTGATTTTCAGATTTAAAAAAATAAAAAAATAAAAAATAAAAATAAAAATAAAATAAATCTCTCCCTCTCTTATTTATTTTTCTGATTTTCAGATTTAAAAAAAATAAAAAAAAAATAAAAATAAATTTCTCTCTCTCTTTCTTTCTTTCTCTCTCTGGAAAACCCAAGCACAAAAAGGAGGCTGCTACCCTCCATTCCAACCATGTTTTCTTCTTCTTTCTCGATGACAAGCGACCCAAACACCCCCATACTTGTTGTTACTGCCTCCCTTCTTCTTCTTTAGTATTAATCGAAAAAACCTCCATCGGAGGTGGGGTTTTCGGCTGTCAAGAGGGCAACAACCCCCTCCCGTTTTCCTTGTGCTTATCGTCGGCTTCATAGCAACCCAAATGCCCCCACCTACTGTTGTTCTATCTCTGATCTGCCTTATCCTTTCCCTTCGCGTTTTCTTCCAGATCAGAAAAGAAACAGTCAAGAGGCGGCTAGAGCAGCTCCTTAACTGCAGTAGTCAACAAGAGCCTTTGTTGCTCCATTCTTCTCCTTCCCCCAACTTATTCGCATCTCTACCGCCTCCATTCCCTCCTCCACTCTCCTGTTGTTAGTACCCAAACACCAATAACCAACTGAAGAGCATTGGCTCTTCAGGAATCCCCAAATTGAAGATGCGATACAACACCAAAACAAACCTAATCAGGTAAAAACGAAGAGTACAATCTCTTTCTCTCTATGTATTTCTGTGGGAATCTTCTAGGAATCACTTCTCTGGCTCTTTAAATCGGGGTTGATTTCGTCTCTTCAAATCATTTCTCTTTGAGAGTGGAGGCACACATCAGAGCATCAGGTGAACAGATTTAGCAAATAGGTTTGCTCGTCTGTTTCTAGCTCTTTTTCATGGAAATCAAAGATATGAACTTTTCTCCTTACGTTTCTGGATGAACCCGATTTGGTTTTTTTTACCCAACTCAAAACAGAGAGAAAGGAGAAGATCCTGAGAGAAATTAGTTTCATTAAGTTTGTAGAGAGAATATGAAGATGCGGGTAAGAAAGGGTGTGACCTCAAGATCTGAGATTGAAGAAGATGATGGTTGTATGTGTTCTTGGGGGGGGGGGGGGGGAGATTATTTTTATTTTTATTTTTTATTTTTTTTAAATCTGAAAATCAGAAAATAAATAAGAGAGAGAGAGATTTATTTTATTTTTATTTTATTTTATTTTATTTTTTTAAATCAGAAAAAAATAAGAAAAAAAGAAAATCATATTAACAGGGGTAAATTCGTCATTTTGAAAAAAATTAAAACAGATTGGACCAAACAAGCAACAAAATGAAAACTTTGGACCTCTGGTGCTAGTCCAAACCTTTTTGGACGAAAGTGACAATTTTGAGCAAACCACGGGGACCATTTGTGCAGTTTAGTCAAAACAAAAACAAAACCATATAACCAATTTTGGATACTTAGATTGAATTACAACTTATAGTCCATAAAATGGAATAAAGAATAACACCTATCAAACTAATAAAAATCCAGCCTTTTTTAACAAGTGATCAATTGATCATGCAACAAAAAGAAAACCAAAAAACTAAAATGGAACCATAAATAATTATATGTCCATGAAATAAAAGATTGAACTTAAAATAACCTTCAAGAAGAATCTACCCATATCATGCTCATCGTGTCTCTCCTATATTGCATATGTCTTTTCGACATTTTCATTCTATCTCAAAATTAACCTAACTTGAAAAACCTAAAAACTTATGAGGATAGAATGAAAAACAAGTGATTAACATACTTTACTTATAGAGTCATAGAGATCGAGAAATCAATTTAAGTTGACAATTGAACTTTAAAACTCTAGATTTCAGAAATTGGTATTTAGAACATATAGAACTTTCAAAATTAAGAAATCAAAATTAAATTCAGAAATAGATAAACAAATAAGTTGGCAAAATGGACAATTATAAGTACTTATAATAATCAGAGAGTGAGAATGATAGAGTCGCAATCTCATATTTGGGGCCTTCACTTGAGCTTGACCGCTTTACTAAATTGTATGGGAAATTGCTGCCACTAATACATGAGTTTTTGAGCATTCAATACATTTGTAAAGCTATGAACTCTTTATAAACGAGAAACATTAGCTTGGGCCCATGGACTACTATTACTGAGGCTACCCTCCTTACGGACAACCCTGAAGTCGACATGACTTGAAAATTAAACGAGCAAGACTAGGTTCAAACTCTTTCAACCCGGAACAACACAAAATGATTAAAATGTCTTGAACCCTAAACTTGCTAATTCGAAACAAATCGATACAAAATAAATAGGTTTAGGTAAGAAATTTTAACTCGTTTAAATATATAAATCCATAATAGAATAGGATACAAAAATTAAACAATACAATTAAAATAAAACTCTTTCAATCTGATTAATGTTAAACCGGAAATTAAACAACCCAAACTACCCTGGACCAAGAGGAAAAAAAACATGTCGAACCATTAAGCACCGGAACAACGTAATCAAAATACTGTTTTCGTTTTCACTGTCATTCTCGTTTTCTTCGTCTCAAACCCCCTTTCGCAATCTCTCTCTCAATAACACCATTTTCCACTGCACTGCTACGCAAATCAAACACAAGAACAAGAAGAATTAATCTCTTCCAATTGGATATTTGATTCTCCTGTCGTTTATTATTATTATCATCGTCGTATGAGATCAACTTCAAATTCACTTCTTTCAGTTTCAACAGCGCGTACCCGTTTGATACAGATGAATGTCACTGCTATGGAAAATTTCACTTCAATCGAAGAAACTGAAGTCAAATTTTGAAGGATCAGGCAATCTCGTTTCTTCCTATCGATCCATTTTTTTGGTAAGCTCTGCAGGTCTATCCGTGTATTCATAGAGATTTATTGCCGATGATTACGTTCGTAGGAAATCCGATTGAGGGTTTAGAAACTTATCGTTTATCTTCTGTTTTCTCGCGACTCGTTTTCGATCGCTTAGGGTTTCTCATTCAACTACATGATATTACAACGCAATTTAAAATTTCCTTCAGTTTGTAAATTGGCGTTTTTTAGGTTCGTTTCTATGATCTTAGGGTTTTTTTTGATATGAAATACCATATTCCCTTCTCTTCTGTTGGAAACTTTGAAGTAATGAACTCATTGAAGATAATATTGTATTCACTCCTAGAATCATTCAATCCATTTAAGCTTATGGTTGCAAAATTTAACACACAATACAATTAATTTCATCTGTCTACATTGCTAACATCCTTATAACCTTCTTTTCTTCAAATTCTAGCCATAACTCTATCCATTTTCTACATAACTTGCTTCAGGAAAATCTGCAATGCACCGTGTGGGTATTGCAGGCAGTGCCTCTAATTCAGTTCGTCCTCGCAAGGAGAAAAGATTTACATATGTATTAAGTGATACAGATGACACAAAGGTCAGTGTTCATTCGATTGAATCACTAATTCTGCTTCTTTCTGTATAAACATGTAAAGAAATTCATACCTCAAATATTCAAACACACTTCCCCTTTTGCAGCATTGTGCAGGTGTGAATTGTTTGGCTGTATTAAAGCCATCAAAACCAGACAACTCAAGTTACCTCTTCACAGGGAGCCGAGATGGAACATTAAAAAGATGGGCATTGACAGATGAGGATGCTACATGCTCAGCTACCTTTGAGTCTCATGTTGATTGGGTATATACTCTATACTATATACTTCTTCTTCAATGTTAATATATAAAAACTTGGTGTTAAAAGTTAATGCGGGGGCATATTTGGAAATTGGAATATACAGGTCAATGATGCAGTCCTTGTAGGAGGGAATACCCTTGTATCATGCTCCTCAGATACTACAGTCAAGGTTTGTCTTCAGTGTAAGATTAAACCTTTTAATCAATGTATGATTATGTATACAAAATTTTAACTAATATTTATATTGTTTTCATGTTTTCCACTACTAGACATGGGATTCTTTTTCTAATGGAACTTGCACAAGGACTTTTCGCCAACACACAGATTATGTCACTTCTCTTGCTGCAGCAGAAAAAAATGTAATCTTTTTTGTCTTTCTTTAATTATATAAACATCATGAGCATATATATAGTAGTTTATTCTTCTTTTTGTGTGGTTATTGTTGTAGAGCAATATTGTTGCATCTGGTGGATTGGGTGGTGAAGTGTTCATATGGGATCTTGAAGCAGCACTTGCTCCCCTCACCAAGTCCAGCGAGGCAGCTGACGAGGATCGTCCAGGTGGCACCAATGGGTCAGGAAGTTTACTACCAGTTACTAGCTTACGTACTATAAGCTCAAACAACAATATTACATTGCAAACAAATGCACCTCACGGATATGTTCCTATTGCTGCTAAAGGACATAAAGAGTCTGTTTATGCATTAGCAATGAATGATACTGGAACTCTTCTTGTTTCTGGTGGAACAGAAAAGGTAAAAACTATAAATCACTCTAAATTCTGGTGTATAAGTAATTACTTTTTATAAAACTTATCTTGTTAATATTTAGAATATATGGTTTTATTGTAGGCTGTACGTGTTTGGGACTCAAGAAGTGGCTCAAAGATGATGAAGCTTCGAGGGCATACAGATAACATTAGGGCTTTGCTTCTTGACTCCACAGGAAGGTTTGTGTTCTTTCAGAGTTGCTTAAGTTTATAAAATTTATATTTTCTTTGTGTAATTAAATTATTAGGTTATTGGGTTTCTAATTCTTTATAAATTTTCAATGATGCAGGTTCTGTTTATCAGGATCTTCGGATTCTATGATCAGGTAGTTTCTGTGTTTAAATATTTATGGTACTCATTTTTTTTTTTTGTTAAATATTTACTTTTTTTATTTTTATAGATTATGGGATCTTGGACAGCAAAGATGTGTGCATTCATATGCAGTTCACACAGATTCTGTTTGGGCACTTGCTAGCACTCCTACATTCAGTCATGTGTATAGTGGTGGAAGGGATCTTTCTGTAAGTCCACTTTTTTTATATTTCAATGAAAGAAAATAAATAATTTATGTTATATTTTTAATATTTTTTATAGTTGTACTTAACGGATCTTTCAACAAGGGAGAGTATACTTCTTTGCACAAAGGAACATCCTATTCAGCAACTAGCAATGCATGATGATGGTATTTGGGTTGCAACAACAGATTCTTCTGTTCACAGATGGCCTGCTGAAGCTCAAAACCCTCAAAAGGTGTTTCATAGAGGTGGCTCTTTCCTAGCTGGCAACTTGTCTTTTTCAAGAGCTAGGGCTTCTTTAGAAGGATCTACTCCTGTGAGTTTTTATAAATTTTCATCTTATTCTTTAGAGTGAATTACATTTTTGATCCCTGAGTTTAGATGTTACTTATTTATTTATTTATTTTTTTTATAGTTTTTGTCATTGTTTTGATGTTTCATAGCGATTTTGGTCCATGAATAGTTAAATCTAACTACTCAGCTATTAGTTTTGTAAAATGACCATTTTGCCCTTGGACAACCAGGACCAAACCTGAAAAACAAGTAAACCATAGGATCATAGGGACCACATTTGTAATTTTCGCTTATAACATTTTATAAGTGCATATCAGTTTAGAATTATAATGTTATTAGTTTACATTGTAGTAGATTGAATTATTTTATTTGTTAATATATTAATATAACTAGTTTATTTTTATTTTTATTTATTATTATTATTATTATTATTTTTTTCTAAATATGGTATTTTGTAAAAAACTCTATATTGATTATTGAACAACATACAAAAACAATTATAAATCATTCAAAATGGACAAGTTTACAAGATATTATCTATATAATGTTATAAACCTTAACAAAAAAACAATAAAAAGCTTTAAAGTTGGTCTATGTGGTTTACTGATTATTTTTCAAGGGTAAAATGGTCATTTAAAAAAAATTAACAACTGAGTCGTTAGATTCAGGGGCTAAAATCGTAATGGAACATCAATATAAGGACCAAAATTGCAAACCAAATTCTGTAGGGACCAAAACCTAAAAAACCATTTAAACTCAGGGACCAAAAATGTAATTTACTCTAATTTTAATCTTTCATCTACATATATAGTAAGTTGTATAGAATCTTTACTGTTTGTATTGTTTTTTGAACTTTTTTTTTTCTGTTTATTACTCAACAAACAAACTAAAGTAATTTGACATGTATGTAGGTTCCTGTTTACAAAGAACCAATATTCAGTATTAAAGGAATTCCAGGAATCATGCAATTTGAAATTATGAACAACAGACGACACGTTTTAACCAAGGTACACATTAAGTTTTTCATTTTTTTCCTTTTAAAAAGAAGTTCACTTTTTTAAAGAGAGTAAGAATTGTGTCTTCTATAGGATAATGCTGGTTGTGTAAAGCTTTGGGAGATCACTAGAGGTGTTGTAATCCAAGACTATGGACAGGTGTCATTTGAAAAAAAGAAGGAAGAACTGTTTGAGATGGTACGTTTGACCATTTCATACACCTTCTCTTTGACCTTGACTTTTGACTTTTGACCATGGTTGTCCAGGTCAGCATTCCCGCGTGGTTCACTATAGATAGTAGACTCGGAAACTTATCTGTCCATTTGGACACCCCACAGTGTTTTTCAGCAGAAATGTATTCTGTTGATCTTAACATCACCGAAAAAGCTGAGGACGATAAGGTAATTTCATTCTTTTATTGAGATATATACATATCAAATAAATTTTATAATAAATATTAATTTATTTTTCTTTTATATTATAGGTTAATTTGGCAAGGGAGACACTGAAAGGACTTTTGGCACCGTGGCTGTCTAAAAAGAAACATAAATTTGGGCCCCAAAGTTTGGCCAATGGGGAAGTGCCACCTGTCAGGGATAGGGATAGGGATAGGGATGTTTCTTCTAGAAGCATTACGCTTTCAAAAGTTGAAGTAGATGGAAACAGTGAAAACGATTCTTCAGTTTACCCTCCGTTTGACTTTTCAACTGTGTCCCCACCTTCTATTATTACTGAGGGCTCACAAAATGGTCCATGGAGGAAAAAAATTACTGAAATGGATTCTACAGAAGATGAAAAAGATTTACCTTGGTGGGTCCTTGATTGTGTTTTACATAATCGTTTGCCCCCTAGGGAACACACCAAGTAAGTAGTTACATTTTCTGTTACGTTTTGTGTTACATTTTTCTGTTACATTTTCTGTTATGTTTTTCAGGTGCAGTTTTTATTTACAGCCATATGAAGGGTCAACGGCTCAAACTGTGACACAAGGGAAGCTCAGTGCACCTCGTATCTTAAGAATACACAAGGTAGTAACTAGTAAGGGCATTTTGGTAATTTTTGACAAGGATTTGCAAATAAATTATTTTTTGTTAGGTTGTTAATTATGTGGTGGAAAAGCTGGTTCTTGATAAACCAATGGAGAGCTTGGCCATTGATGGAGCTTTTGCCACTGGAGATGGATCTTTTAGATCTGGAATGATAAAACCATGGCAAAAACTTAAGCCTTCAATAGAAATTTTATGCAATAATCAGGCAAGTTTTTTTTAATATATATATATATATATATATATATATATATATATATATATATATATATATATATATAAAACATTAGTTTGTTATTTATTTATTTATTTATTTATTTATTTACAGGTTTTGACACCTGACATGAGCTTAGCTACTGTTCGTACTTATATATGGAAAAAAACCGAAGATCTTGTTCTCAATTACCGAATTGTTTCCGGAAGATGAATTTTATGTATCCAGAGAGGTACTATTGTGAGTGATTTTGAGCTTCCAAGATTCTTGGAGGTAATCATCTTTAAATCAAATTTGTCTTATATAGCTAGCTATATTCCGTTTCGTTTTATTAGTTTTCAAATAAAAAACTAAAATTTTATTTTTTTAAATTATGAAGCATACACGAAGAACCTCGGGTCAAAATTCTGGTCAAAGAGCTATCGAGTATAAAAGAAATAGCAGAAGAAGATGATGTCAGAAAACCACCACATTGTTTAGTAGTATCTATAACAACAACATTGTCACACATGCCAACCAAGTAAGTTTGTGTTTTGTACATCTTATTGATGTGTTATTATTTTTGTCTGTTGTTTTGTTTTCAATGGCTTTACTTAAAACTGTCTGTTTTTTTTTTTTTTTTTTTTTTTAGAAATAGAACTAGTATTATGGTATTGGTATGTAACCTACAGTTGACCACAAACATTAATTGTAAACCCTTGTAGGAAATTTTTGCATATTACTATTCACTTGTATTTACAAAACAACCATGCATACATTTATGGAGCAAAATCCAAGAGAGATATATAGATCATGGATATATGTTATATGCACACATGATTGGAGAAAGCTCAAAAGGGTACATTATTATTATTATTATTAATTTTTACCCTTGGCTATTTATTTACCACACAACATTTCACTCAACCTCAACAAACAAACACTAGAGGCCAAGTTCTTTTATTTTGCTATTTTCACCTGTTTCAACTGTTCCCTTCCTCATCATTGTCACAAACTCATCATAGTTGATCTTCCCATCCTACCATCAAACAAAATAGAATTACCCAAAATGAATATAAGATAAAAAAAAAAGATTTTTACTGCTTTACTGTGATTGTTACTGACCTTATCGGTGTCCACGTCATCAAGGACTTCATCAATGGTTGCTTCATCTCCCATTCCATAATCTGTCATGGCATGTTTCAACTCATCTCTAGTGATATATCTATAACAAAACCCATATGTAAATCAACAAATACTATAACCATATTTTTAATTTTTTTATAAATGGTAAAAAAGGTGAATAAACAAACCCGCTATTATCCTTGTCAAAAAATTGAAAGGTTTTTTTCAAATTCTCTTCCCTATCAAGTTTATGTCGATGCATCGTTGCAGCCACAAACTCCAAATAATCAATCGTTCCATTCTTATCAACATCAGCCTATTATCAAAATAATAAATCACAATCAATAAAGTTATAAACATGGACCCATATTTTAATGAATTGATTATAAGAGCTTACAGCTTCCATGAGTTGTTGTATCTCTGCCTCAGCGAGACTTGATCCAAGCTTCGTTAATCCGGTTTTAAGTTCTTCATATGTTATGGTCCCACTTCTGTCAGTGTCCATGTTATTGAACATCTGTTTCAATCCCTTTATCTCTTCTGTTGATTCTAGGTTTTCCGCAATAACCTGTTTAAAAAAAAAACATTAAAAATAAACAACAAAAACACTTTCTTTTATTGATAAAAGTAAACATACCTTTAATGCTAGCTTCTTCAACTTGTTCATGGCTCTGAACTGCTTCATTCTAATCAAAACAGCACTATCTATTGGTTGTTCTGATGCATCACCATTTTCCTTGAGCCATGGGTGTTCTGAGAGGTTGATTTCATCCATGGTTATTTTTTTATGTTCAAGTTTTGGAGAAATGTAAATAAGAGTTTTTTTTTTTGCTATACTAACCAAGGGCTGTATGTGCGCTGATACGTTTTTTAGGATTTCTGGTCAACATTTTTGATATTAAATCTTTCGCACCCTCAGATATAGATGGCCATGGAGGGCTTTGAAGGTCGAGTTTACCTTCTAATATTTCTTCAAATATTACCTTTTCACTCTCTGAAATAAGACAAAAAAAAAAAATCTTTAATTTTCCCTTCTTAAAAAGAAAGGTTAATGTTTATAAGAGTAACAAATTGGTGTAGTTTATTTAAACATGTAGGAATTTATTTTTATGAATATTAAACTTTGTAAGAGTGATGTTTTATCCATTTATTATGAAATGAAATCACTTTTATTTTAAATTTAATAAACCATAGAATTGAAGGGAGTTAAAGAAGTTACACCTCCCCAAAAAGGAGGGACGCCGCTAAGAAGAATGTACAAAATGACACCAGCACTCCACACGTCTACCTCCTTTCCATAACGACGTCGTAACACCTCTGGTGCCACATAATATGCACTTCCTACAATTTCTTTATAAATCGTCCCTAAAAAATGAATTGCATAAGATATTGTATTTTAGTACCTCTAAAATGCCACTTAAATGAATCCAAATTCAAACAAGAAATGCATAAATAATAAACCACAACGTTTTCGTTTAGACAGTTTGATATATCTATCTATCTACATCTCAACTGTAAATGTTTTTATATATATACAAACGTACAATCAAGATTATTATTGCATGTCCTTTACATTGTATTTTCTAGATATTGGTCAATTTCTTTTGATGAATATCACATCATATATATATATATATATATATATATATATATATATATATATATATATATATATATATATATATATATATATATATATATATATATATATATATATATATATATATATATATATGTTTAGGTTCATGTGAGACGGCCTAATTTTGTGAGACCGTGAGACGCAATCCTAGCTACTCATTTATTAGATAAAACAAAAACATTTTTAAAATGCAAAATAATTGAAAATTTTCGAAATTTTTTTCCCAATATTTTTTTCGGAATATATATTTTCCAAAAAAAAGATAAAAAAAATACCAAAAAAAATAAAAAATAAATACAAAAAAAAAAATACATTTTTTACATATTTTAGTAGAATATTTAGAATATTCTATATGTCTGGCAAATCTAGTAGAATATTCTAAACATTCTAAAAATCATATTAAAATATGTACAGTGTAATATTCTATTAGAATATTTCACGTATTTTAAAAAAAAAAATGGTAATTTTTTTTATTATTTTTTATTTTTTTAAAATAAATAAAGTTCCGAAAATAATAATTAAAAAAAGAATTTTTGGATTTTTCCTTTTATTTTGCATTTTAAAATTATTTTTAGATTTGGTCTCACGGTCTCACAAAATTAACATGGTCTCAAATGAACCTGAATATATATATATATATAATATATATATATATATATATATATATTATATATATATATATAATGTGCTCATATGATTCTTTAACATCTTGTTAAGTCGTGCATGATTATGCATGAGGTGATGTCGATGGGCACTTTCAAGACTTTCAAGGGCACCAAGACAAAAGTTCATTGACCTGGTTGACTTGTCATTTCATAATTGACTTGTTGACTCGTGTGTATTACACGTATTTACTAGTCACTTCGATATCAATCATATATATTGTCAATATTTTCATTATAAAAGTTTTACTTTTAAATCAACTTATACACAACCAAATAATTGGTTAATAACTAAATATATGAAATACTTTTTGATAAGATGAAATTATAAGACTCTCACTCTATAATCGTCCTCACAATTTTATTTTTAAAAACTATCAGAACACATTTATATGAAAATCCCTTCAAATTTTAAGACATCATAAATAAAAAATATTGAAGTTTTTCATTCAAAATGAGTAATCAAAAAAATTTGTTAAATGTCTGGATTAATTGTATTTCCGTCTTATTAATAAAACATTATTTCTTAAATGCTTTTTAAAGGACAAAACTAAATAACCAATATTTAGCAGTGATTTCAGTGAACAAATAGATGCTTTGACATGCACATTGGTAAGAAAAATAGTTATTTTCATCAAAAAAAAATTATAACAATATCTATTGGGTTGGTAAAAAGATGTAACATTCAATTTCAATCACAGTTTCTTTTATAACTAAGTTATTAACCCATGATATTAACAATGGTCTGGTGTGAACTCCTTTCCACTAGTTATTAATGAACAGTTCAATCACTTGAGAGTGATAACAATAAATGTATTCAAAGAACTTTTGTGTAATAAAGCTTTATATATGGAATATTGTTAACACGAAAATAAAGAACTTCGAAAGCTACAAATGTTCTAAAGTGTTGTTAACAATACAACATCATCAAGTTTTATTATCACTAAAATGTGAGATTTGATGTTAGAATTAGATATTTTTTAATACAATATGTAAAACTGTGTTTTATAATGTAGAAAATTTTAGTTTTTCAACAATAATCAAAATGGTATTACGTATCTGTCCATATATAACACAATACTGAAATGCAATTTCAATATTGTTACATATGTTTTATATAACAATTACTATAACATAAATATAGCATTCTTCAAAATTATAAAATTAGAAATTAATTAATAACTATTGGCTTCAAAATGGGATTAGTTCTTTTGTACAGCATAATATGTTTCCTCACTTTATAAAATACGTTCCAACATTGATTCCTTTACTTGAACCAAAAGGAACGGACCAAAAAAATATACTTTTGCAACGTTTTAAAGCCAAAATTCAGTTACTATAAATGTTAATTGCATACATAGATTTAGATAAGTTATATAAAACATATATAATATAGAATAAATGAATTAAGAGTATGAATCTTTAAAACTGACCTTCTTCAATGAAGACAGAAAGCCCAAAATCAGTAGCCTTCAATGGCGAATCTTCATCTTGACTAACCATCAAGAAATTTTCAGGCTTCAAATCTCGATGCATAACCCCCATGAAATGACAAACATGCACCACATTCACAATCTGTCTCCCAATCTTGGCTGCTTCTTTCTCAGAATAACTACCTTTTTTTGTTATCCTATCAAAAAGCTCACCACCATTACACAACTCCATAACCAAATGCACACTACTTTCATCTTCATACGCCCCTCTAAACTCCACAATATTTGGTTGCCCAGTCAGATGTTGCAGCATCATAATCTCCCTCCTTACATCATCCATATCCTTCTTTGTAACAAGCTTCTTCTTTGATATCGATTTGCATGCAAACTTCTTACCTGAGGCCTTTTCAGTGCAAAGATACGTGATACCAAACTGTCCTCTCCCTAATTCTTTCCCGATATAGTAAACTTTCTTTAGATCGACGTACTCCTTTCCTAGAATAGACCCTTCTTCATGGTTTTTGATGGTTTTCTGTGGGTCGAACTTACTGGGGATCGGATAGTATGTTCTTTCTTGATCAGGGATGAAATGGTTATGATGATCATCTGCAGGAGGAAGATGGTGATGAGGGGGTGAAGGTGATGAAATCGGGATATCATGGCTTCGATGAGGTTTTAGGAAAGACCAACAAATACCCATTTGAGATTGAGGTGAGATCTGAAATGGGTTTGTGTTAGATTTTGGTTTTTGTAAAGATTATGATGTGGTTTGGGTTGATGAAGACGAAGGTATAGCTTTACTTTAGATTCTATTTGCTTGTACACGCCTTTGTTGGTTTCTTGATTCGGACTTATTAGCCTTTTTATATCTCAGGGGATCGTATTGCATACGTCAAGCTTGTGTGTGTAAGGTGTTTGGGATTGTAGGCGGAGAAACTGTTGCATAAATCATGGACATTATGAGGAAATATTTTACTAGTAATATTTTTGTTTCACTTTTTTTTAAATAGCTAAATATTTCATTAAAAACTAACAAGAAGCTAAACCAAATTACAATGAATATGTTTCACTAATGTTTTCCATGGACGATCAAATGGATTACACAGAAGAATAAATACAATGAACAAGGCCAAGGGCCCACATATACAAATAAGCACACGGGCTGTTAAATACAAAGATAATACAACAATAATAAGGCCAAATATGATTACTAAATAGATGTCGGCTAACATCACCTGCAGTCAGAACGGTAGGTTTCGAACGAACGTTCAGACTGGATCGATAGTTAAAAACGGAGTGGAGGAGACTCTTAGCGAATATGTCAGCATACTGAGACGATGATGGAACATGAAGAAAATAAACATTACGGAGAGCAACCTTGTCACGAACGAAATGAATGTCACTCTCGGTGCGTTGGTGCTGAACACGATTAGAAGATAAGTACACAATACTCATATTATCGCAATAAAGTAGTGTAACTCCAATAGAAGATTGCGAAGGCAAGTGATTTTAGCAACCACATTGGCAACACTATGATACTCAGGTTCTTCAGTAGATTGTGAAATACTAGCTTGTTGCTACGACAACCAAGATAAAAGGTTTTGGCCAAGAAAGACAAAATAACCGGAGGTGGAGTGATGAGAAGTGGGGCAACCAGACCAATCAACATTAGAGTAAGCAGTAAGACCACACACATGTGAAACATAAAGTTGAAGACCATGATCGAGAATGCCCCACAAATATCGACGAATATGTTTAAGGGCTGTAAAATAGGGTTCTCTAGGATCATGCGTGTATAAACATACATTGTAACGTCACAAAAATTAAGACCAAAATTTTTATTTTTATATTAATAAAACCATTATCCAAAACAATATCATAAAAGCCATAGTGAACTCAGAGTATGTCAATAAACATCCAAATACATCAGAGTTATATAAAATGCGGAACAATGTGGTGTGTGCAATGCAGTCATCCCGAGCTCTTCCCTTTTGAAATCGAGTTACCTGAAACATAAACTGAAAACCGTAAGCACAAAGCTTAGTGAGTTCCCCAAGATACCACATGCCATACATATCAAACATATAATGGGCCCCGCCCATCATCGAGCCCCGCTCGGTAAACAAATCTATCAGTCATCAGGCCCCGCCTGACATCAGGTCCCGCTCGGTATACATATAAACACATAATCATACAATATATGCAATAATCACAAATATAAATATCATACAGGATAGTCATCGGGCCCCGCCTGGTAAACATATAAAACATATCACATGCAAGAGTTACGCATACATCTAACATCCTAAACATAACAACCATGGGCCGACATTGGTGCCTTCGACCCACTAAACACTGTGATGAAACTCACCTCTAGCTGCTGGAATCTCTCAAATAAATCTCGGTCCGCTGGTCTGGAAAATCCCCGCGCTAACATCATCAAATAATATCCAATTAATAACTGGATCTCGAGCCTTATTCAAGAATCTAAGCTACTTGACTAATTTCCAGGGTAAAAGACCATTTTACCCTTTTCCTTACTTGACCCAAAACCAAGGCCCAACCCAACTACTCAAAAGGCCAAAATTTCTTAAATGGCATTACAAGGCCCAATAAGGCCCAACATCCAAATTGGGCCCAAAAACCACTACGGACCTAATCCCAAGAAAGTCCATAGTCTATCTATGGCCCAAAGTCAGAAGTCCAATGACCCAAATCCTAAAAGCCCAAAATATGGCCCAAACCCGAGGAAGTCAAACTGAAAGTCAATCTGCTGAGTATGCGGGGCGTACTCAGCTCTTAGCGTACTCCTTTCGGGGCCAGTACGCGCATCGTACCAACTAGGAACGCCCAACGTACTGCCAGACCACCAATCCACTCCATTAAGCACTTAATCAGTTGAAACCTCTAACCAAATTCTCAGATCTGATCCTAAAGGACGACTTAATACATAAAGTTGGCAACTTTACACCCATGAATGACTTAATGGGAACCAACACTCCAAAAGAAGCTTAATAAGGCTCTTAACACTTGCATAGACCGATATCTTTCATAAAGTTTTCATTTTTATGAACAATGGACCTCCATGGAGCTAAGATATAACATCCATGGCTTCTAGAGTAGATCAAAAGCTCAACTTTAGCTCTAAAGACCCAAAATGCATAAACATGGTCCCAAAACTAGATCTAGCATAATGAACCATCAAGTAGAGAACTTTATACCTCAAATGGCTTGCAAATATGATGATGAATCTGGATCTACAAGCCCAAGCTACTCCAAAGCAACCACCAAGAGTTCTTCTTCTTCTTCTTTCACTAAAACACCACCAAATCTCACTTTCAAGCTCAAAACTCACAAGAGGCACTTAGGGTTTCGTTTTTAGGGTATAGGGTAATGGAGGCTGCTTAATAATATGTCCAAAGGTGGTTTAAGTTGTTTAAATAGGGTGCAAACCCTAAAAATTAGGGTTAACCAAATCCTTGCGTATGCCTAGCGTAATCCCACGTACGACCAACGTACGTGGGTGAACCCGCAATCGTTTGAGCCTAGTACGCTTAGTGTACTCCCCGTACACCCAGTGTCTTCGGCTTTGCCCCAAATCCTTGTTAACTTCAAATGGTCATAACTTTTTCGTTTTAATTCTGATTCCAACGATCCTTATATCCACAAAAAAGGTAACGAGAAGCTCTACACTTCAATTAACTTTTCCGAACTAAAATCCAAAATTCATAAAAGTACCGAATTACCACTTTACCGATATACCCTTAGACTCCAAAACACAAACCGAACTCTCCGATCATCTAATATACATTATCCACACTCAAAGGGGACTAAGTCTCTTTCCCACAGGCCCCAAGCCTTATGATAACTGGTCATCGGGTCATGGTCCCAAATTATGAAACGATTCGAAACAAAGTGTTACATACATGCTGAACAACGTAAGTAATGTTTAGTCTATTAAATGTTAGATATTCGTAAAGCTCCTGCAATGTGACATCCCCAAATTCACGATCATTTTAAATTTTTTATTTATGCTTATTAAAAATTTGAGTACCAATTTTAAAGAAATATGTTGCGGAATTTGTTCCCAGAAAACATGATAAATATATTATCAAAGCATTTCCGAAGAAATGTATTTTGTTTATATTAAAACTTTGGGATGTCATTGTCAATACAGAAACATAAGCATAAACAGACCTTACATTCATTTACACTAATGATTTACATCTCCTTTAATCTCTCAGTGTAATGTGTCCTCGTATCGATACCCGTGATACAAATAAACTGAGTGGGTCAGGTTGGGAAACCTGGTGAGTACATAGGGATTTCAATCCCATAATGTTATATCATATATATATATATATATATATATATATATATATATATATATATATATGTTTTAGAACTCACAGTATATACAATTTCACTTCATATAAGCAAATTTACCCCACCCCGTCGATCCTCACAATGACACGATCTATACTCTCGGATCTAAAATTAACCTCTTTACCTAATCCATACTCCCAGATCATGTATGTCTAATCCATGCTCTCAGATCAATAACAATGACCATTCCATACTCTCGGACTAGGGACAATTGACTATGTCTAATCCATGCTCCCAGATTAATGACAAATAACTATGCCCTCTCCATACTCTCGGACTAAGGACAAATGACTATATCTAATCCATGCTCTCGGATCAATGAAAAATCTTAAAGTTCGACCATCCGTGTATATCTCACCCACACTCATAAGTAGATACTATTCAATATCCATCTCAATTAATTTAGGTTTGTTCTGTATCCTAAATCAGCATATATTATCAGATATGCTCTTAACACGTATTTTAGGAAATAACACATATTTCACACAAAAATAATGTTCATGAAAGGGACTATGCATTCACTTGTTAAAGTGATGATTTGCAATTTGGGTAGCACTTCGCTTCTAACAACTTTATTTTCCTTCGACGAAACCTAGTATCATTATTACTAGATTTTAGTCTAATATTTATTGCGACTAATTAACTCAATGTTTACGAGCGATATTGTTTTATAAGTGTTAAATAATACTTTTCAACTGCTATGTACAGACAGGAGCCAAACATGAAACACTGGAGGGCAAGACCATTTTGACATTTAAGCTGTTCTGAAATCCAACAATCATATGCGGCCCTTCAAACCAGATTCTCCGTACCGCGAGCAGTTAAAAGGTATTATAATAACACTTTGTATATTTTATAATACTCACATATATTTTTTATAGGTTCATAATAACGATAATGAACTTAAACATAATATATACTTGTAGTAGGGTAAGCATAACTCACTGAGCCGAAAGCTCTTCTTCTCGGAGCCTTCTGGCGCCCCGGGACTCGCCTCTAACACTTAGGAAGTGCTAGGTAATGGGAGGGATCAAGAAGGATGTTTGAGAGAGAAAGAATGGCAAAGGTGTGAGAAATATGGGAGAACCTCACATTTATTTATAGGGGTTGGCTTTGGACTACGCCGAGCGTAGCCTCGGAGTACGCTACGCGTACTCAGTATGCTGCACATACGAGGTGCTACACTGCGCATATGAGGGGGCAGGTGTCAGCTTCGCACGCGAGGCCATGGGGAGAAAGCAAGGGCCGAGATGGTGCCACGTGGCACTCTTCGCATCAGCCTATACATAACTTCTAAATTTTGTAACTTTCGCATACGAGCTTCGTTTTTGACGTTCTTTACATCCACGCCTAGGTAGCGACGGGATCTACAACTTTCGTTTAGACTCTGTCGGCTAATTTTGAATTTATTTTTAAAGTTATATTTTAACAGGCTTAGACAGATAAGGGTCGTTAAAATTTCATAACTTTGTCATCTGACGTTCGTTTTCGTCTGTCTTTATATCGTTGAGCTCCTATTAACGAGATCTTTGATTCTCATTTAGATTGTGTGGCCTAAAAATTGATCAATCTAAAATGTGAATTCCGGGTTGTGCGCTGCTATGCTAAATCTTAGAAAAATCATAACTTCCTCATACAAAGTCAGATTTGTAGTGAAGCTGGCGTGATGATGAGTTGACATCACTTTTTAAGTGGGTTGAGTGTGACCACTCCTCATAACCTTATCACATACAATCTATTATGTTTTGGGTCATGAATGACCGATGATTATTGGCCCTTTCTTTGAACTACAAACTTGGTGGGTGAATAAACCATTTTGTTTTGTATTGAATTTTAAGAAGTTAATATTGAGGTTGATTTGTAGAGTTTTAACCATTCTTTCTATTTTAAAGTTGGATATTTTATACCATGTTATGACACTTACTAAGCAATATATAACAATTATTCAAAAAATTTACAACAAAAACGGTGATAATAAGATTTTCAACACGATCTAGTGAATCGTTTCGAGGTTGATATTCATCAAAGGATTTTGGAAACTCTTTTGTCAAAACAAAAGACTATTATATAAATAGTCCTTAATCCGTATGTTTTTCAAAAAGTCGCAAGTTCAGTTTTTAATTATTTTTTTCTCGATGAAGATGTACTTGTGGTTTCAATTTCTTGTATTTTTTGGATCCATATACATTTTTATGTCCTTTAGATTCCATTGTTTTGTTGAATTGCATCTCCTAAATACTTCAATTTTTTAAGTGTAGAAAAATATTAAAACATTCCATCATTTAGAGACACAAAAGATGTATCAATACAACGAGATATCTTGGAGTAACCAAAAAAGAAGTCTGATAGGGCACAAAAGATTCCTTTTCTCTTATTCCATTGAAAATTGAAAATTTTATATCTTTTTTTAAATAAAACTCCCTCCAAAGTATTATCAACTTTTATGTAACTTAGAATCACAAGCTACAAGCATAACTTAGTATTCTAACAAATCGCATCGAATGTTATAGTTTGTAGTTTTAGGTTTCATGAAAAGTTAACGACATATGGTTGAAGGTGGTCTTCGTAGCACGAAGAGGAGTCTCGTAATGAGAGATGCATTTTTATCGGCTACCCACAAAAGTCTTTTGGATACTTGTTCTACAGACCTAGAGAAAACGTGGTCTTCGTAGCACGAAGAAGAGTCTTTCGCGCGCGCGAGAGAGAGAGAGAGAGAGAGAGAGAGAGAGAGAGAGAGAGCTCATATGCAAAGAAGACAGTGGGAGTATAATTGACCTTGAAGATATCAAGAGTCAAGCGATGAAGGAACCTCGAACACTAGCGCTCAACCTGAGGAAGAAATTCATTTTGAACCAGTTGACGATTCGTTACCTCTTAGACGTTCCAATAGAGTTAGAATGACACCAGAGTTTTATGGTTTCCATATTACTACAGATGGTGATATTTTTATCAGTGATAATACACTGATAAATTTAGATGAGCCTTCTAACTACAAGGAAGCCATGACGGGCTCTGAGTCTGTCAAGTGGAAAGAGGCAATGGACAGCAAGATCAAGTCCATATATGACAACCAAGTTTGGAATTTGTTTGACAATGTAACATGTTGTAAGACAGTTGAATGCAAATTATTTTTTTAAATTTATCATTATATCACTTCCTTTCGGTTCATAAAAACTTAAAATTGGACTCAAACTCTTTGTATATCTCTATCCATGCTCCCCCCTCCACCCCCTCTTTTTTTCTTTATTATTATTATTATTATTATTATTATTACTATTATTATTATTATTATTTATTTATTTATTTATTTATTTTTGATAAATACCATGTATAAATACCTTCTTCTTATTACTTTGTATTCAAATTTGGCTTGATTTTAAGATGAGGCTGCACATTGACCCAATCCAAATAATTGATTAATTTTTATGGCGAAAAAGAAAACCAGAATACGTGATTTCAAATCATTATACGTGTTACTGTGAGTGAGATGAAGTCTAACAAAATAAACTTTTAAGTAAATACAACCACACAACAATTAATGATCAAATTTTAAGAGAATACGCGATTTCAAATCATTATACGTGTTACTGTGTGAGATGAAGTACAACAAAATAAACTTTTAACTAAATACAACCACACAACAATTAATGATCAAATTTTAAGAGCAGGACAGTCTCCATAAGCTTAACCACTCAAACCCTAATAAACCTCTACCAAGCGTATCACTAGTATTTGTGTATTACTGGTATTTCATAGTTTTTATATTCCAGTTTTAGAACCATTTTTCAAAGCCACAACATAAATTTTTTTTATGTAAAGATGAAACACATGTATAGACGCACAAATACATCTTCCACCCCACGCAATGTTTGGGAAAACCTTCTAGTTTATATTAGATCTTAAGATAAAACTTAAATTTAATTTGTTTTCTCTTTATAAAATATTTATTTCTTTTTCCATCATACTCAAACTGAGGAAACAAAAATACAATATACTGTCCGTTTATCGTATTTTTTTTCTTTCCCCTTTTCTTTTATTTGGGTGAGACTGAGTTTAGTTTGGATGAGGTACCTTTAATTCAATCCATATTCTAATAAAAGAATAGTTTTATGTTTCTTTTGACATGTGTCACCATATTAGGTTTCCTAATTAATGCATATTTTATTCTTTTTTTTGGCATGTGTCACCATATTATGTCTTCTAATTAATGCATGCCACTTGTCAACCTATTGATTTTCCATTTCAAATTTTCAAGTTTTAAATTTTCCACTCTAATTAAATTAAATTAATAACATTAGAATAAAATTAAAATAAAGTTAATACAAATTATAAAGTGATATAATTTTACATATTTATTTAAATCAATGATTATAATTTTATATTACTAAAAAAATCTCTTAATTAATATTATTTAAAATAATTTATTTAAAATAAATAATTAATAATTTTGAGTTTTTACTATAAAAGTTTAATTAATTTTGTAACCGTGGTTTCCACAGGTTATAAATTAGTATTATATAAATTAAAATAAAACAAAGAAAAAATATAAAATATAATAGTAAAGTGTATCAAAGTAACTTCGTATTGAAATTGAAACTATACATATCATCTTCATCAGGATTAAAGTTAGGGACTAAACCTATTGACTTATTCTAAAACACGGAAGACCGTTTATGTAATTTTGCCCAAATGAAATGAAGAACAAGTTACCGCTCAGATATACACAACAAATATTCACAAAACTTACAGCATAAAGTGACAGACAAATGGAGACTTTCAAACTTGTTCTTCACGTCGACATCTTCATATGGTTATTTACTTGTTCTTAATATGATATTAATGCTTTTAGAACAATTCATAGATAAGTTTCAAAATTTGATTATTATCTATGAAAAAAAAACTTTAAATATGCGGGGCCACAAAAATTAAGTTCCAAATTCAATGTTTAGTTCAAATATAATAGTATAACCTTTTGGGAACAAGATCGTCTTTTGCCAAAATCTCAAAAACTTGGGCTAAGAAATTAAATATCCTCCTACCTTTTAATCCTACCAATCCTTCTACCCATTTAAATATTAGTATCCTAAAATATCATTAAATTTCATTAAATGTTACACATGTCATCATTTCATTGGGTAGAAGGATATAGAAACAAAAGTAGGAGAATATTTAATTTCTTGAACAATTCTATAAGGATTTTACTCTCCGAAATTTGGAAAACACAGGGTTTGAATAAGTAGTTCCCAAAATTCTAAGAATATTCAACTTTGACCATAAGTCCATAACGTGAAGTTTCTTGCTTTCTTCCTTCCAACTTCCAAGACATATCCCATTCTTTTTCCATATAAACACAAAAATTCAATTTCAAGCAGTCATTTTACGATCAAATTCCAAAACCCTTTTACAGAAATTAATAGCTATGATCATCACGTGGTTGCCCTCCATCAAACTCACCATGGTTTCTTCTTCGTTGTTAAAAACTCCGTTAATTCATTATAGTGACAAGATGAAAGAGCTTTTCACCTCCATGTTTTCTCTAATTTTCTTCCATGCACTCCTTCTCATCTTCGTCTTCCACTTTGGTGTAGGTCAGTGATCAGTATCCATAATATATATACACACATATATAGATACACATCTGTAATGATAGTGGTTTTAATTACACTTTTAACCCTATTGTCGATCATATGCTTTGTGGGTGTAGCTGGAGGTATAGTTGGAGCTGTTGTAGGCGCATTGATCGGGTTTAAGGACAAAACGAACCTGTTACAAGATGTGATCATGGGTGCAACATCAGGGGCAGCTTTGTCACAGAAAATTACTACGGCTACCTTTCAGCAGCTTTTGTATTCTGATCATGATGATGAACATGGTTGCTTCCTTCACCTGGTAACCAAACTAAATTTTGCCAATTTTTTTTAACCTTTTTCCAAAAACATTTCAATCAGTAATTATAATATTATCGATGTAGGTTGATATTGTAGCAAGTGCTTTGGAATCAAAACTTCTTCGAGATGAAGATCATATATTCCTAATTAACAAGGTATGTAGTCAATGATTGAAATCAATGGAAGAAAGAAAATTAAATATCTAAGATACGTGAATATGGATGCATTTAAGGCATACATTCAATCATTGACTATTTAAAATTCAATTTGGTGTGGTGTGACCAGGTTGCAAGTTGTGAGAAACTCATTAAGCTTCCAAAGATTGAAATAACAAAAGATGACGTCTTTGATGCTTTCGGAAATGCAACTTGCTGCTCAATTTGCCTTCAAGTAAGTTGCATTGATTTAAATAAGAATAATGTCAATTTTGTTAATTAGTTGATCATCAATGTATCCTGTGTTTGATAAGGTACATATATATTGTAATATTTTTTAATAATGAATCTTGCATGTTAATAAAAAAATGACATTTAATTAATCTAATAATTGAAACAGGATTTTGAGGTTGCGGATGCAGCTGGAATGTTTCCTCAGTGTGAGCACAAGTTTCATCCAGAATGCATATCACAATGGCTTCTTAACCACAATACATGCCCAGTATGCAGAAGAAGCATATAATCACTACGTAGAAACATGATACATTCAAATTTATTCTTTTGTAATTATTTGAATTAATATATCATATATTCTTTCTTAAATACTTGTGTTTGGTTCAAGACGCTGCGTGTGGGTACATTTATACTCACAAGTATTAGATTTAACACCTGCATAACGAGTGGATAAATAATCACTTGCAAAACAATGACTACATACCAAAAGGCTTGTAGCATAGTGTTATCATGGTGTAACAAAAATCTGTCCCTTTCTCTAAATGGTTGAGGATTCAACTCTAATGGTGGACAAAATATCTAGCTTTATGAATAAAATTAGTGGGTGTCTAATCGGCCTTTCTAAATAAAAAGAAAGAAACTACATTTTGATAAGTTAAAAAAATAAAATAAAAAGAAAGAAACTACATTTTGATAAGTTAAAAAAAAAAAAAGTAAATAAATAGGACTGAGGTAATTTAACAAATGATGTGGAATAGCGTGGCGTCTTGGATATGGCGATATGCAATTGAAAGAAACCACGCCATGATTTTTTGGTAAAGGTGGGTGACGTGCCTTGTCTTCTTTTTAGCTTTTATATACTTGATAGATTTTCCTTCCTTCGTGTGTTTGCTTGTACAACCCATAAAAGCTACTCAAAGAACTTGTAGGTATACACTAATCAAAGAAACATAAAGAAATGCAAGAAACGGGTACTTATATTTATGTTATTAAAAAAACTTATATTTTACGATTCTTACTTTTTAAACCTAAATTTTTTATTTATTTAAGAAAAAAACTTTTATAGTTTTTAATTTTTTTTCAATTCGACTCTTTTAACAGGTTTACTGGTAATTTTCTGATTTTATAAATATTTTTTTTAAGTCTTAATTTTTTTTCGAAAAGTTAGTTTGAGAAAGCTTTCTGAGGTATCAAGTTTGCATCTTGTCTTGTATATGTTTAGATCTCTTCATAGTTAGTTTGTTGTATTTTTGGTCCCTTCTTGGGTTAATGGATGAGTTAGGTCGTTTTAGGGCTTGTTCTTTCAGGTCTGAGTTTGTTTTGGTGTCCTTGAGCATAAATGTGCAAACTTTATAAGAGTTTTGGTGTCATGCATGCATTAAGTCAATTATTAAGTCATTTTTAAGCTTAAAAACTTCATTTAGACATGCATGAATGTAAAGTTTGCAGCTTTACGTGGTTTTCCAGCTTAAGGAATTAAGTCAGATCTATGTTTTGGGACTATGTCTTTATAGATTAAGTGCTTATTGGTTAAGCTCTTGCACTATTAAGCTTATGGATTGAGTTTTGAACATTTTTGGGTAGTCCCAATGGACAAAGTTGGAAACTTTATCCATCTGGACCACATGAGAGGCTAGATCTGAGCTTTGGAGCTCTTGGTATTGGAGAAAACAACTTATTGTATTAAGCTATTGAATCTCGGGTAAACATGGCATGTTGGTTGGGGTTTTCCCGATTATCTGAATGATGGAAGAACACGACGTGTCCAAAGGGCAACACGACGTGTTTGGTCAACATGGGCTGTTGACTTTGACTTTTACCAAGTTGGACCTTGAGAGTATTTTGGGATTTTGATGGAATTGGTCACTCGGTGGAAACAGGTATCGATTAAAGAGCTTAGATTCGGAGTCGGTCCTCATCAGCTATGGATCAGATCGAGAGGTGAGTCTTCCTCACTGTACTTTTGGGTCGAAGGCACCAAGGCCGACCCATTGAATTGTTATCCTGGTTTATTGCATGTTGGTATGTGTAGTGATCTGTTAGATCGGTATCTTGGTATATAGGATGTGTAACAACGTAAATTTTCAAAACAATTTTTTCATTTTAAAAACATACTTTCATTCATAAAATATCATAGTAACCCAAAGTATCACATGTTTCACAATAAACAAATCCCAAGATCCTCGAATACATAAATCCTCTCAGTGTGTACGGATCATGCCGGCACCTTCCCGCGATCCTCGCTAGTAGCTGAAACACATAACACAACAGCTGTAAGCATAAATGCTTAGTGAGTTCCCCAAAATACCACATACAACACATACGCCACTCGAGACTATAATACGACCCTCCGGTCGATGTGTCTCAGCGGGACCCTCCAGTCCCGTAGCTCGTTGGACCCTCTGGTCCGGTCATAGCTCGTCGGACCCTTCGGTCCAGTCTGTGTCGTTGGACCCTTCGGTCCGGTCTATATCGTTGGGTCCTCCGACCCGGTCTATATTGTTGGGCCCTCCGGCCCGGTCTGTTCAACACATAGCATACATATAACACAATGCACATAATCTCATATATACACATAGCATACAAGACCCTCTGGTCTACACATAAATACCACTCTAGGTAATGTATAGTGAGAAGACTCACCTCGGGTAACTCGGTAAACCTCGAACTCTGAAATACTGCACTAGCCTTCGCCTAATCACATAAATAATTACTCTAATTAATACAACTTCTAAAGGCTAGGCCACCCCCTCTCTATAAGTTCTCTAAGAAGGGTAAAAGACCATTCTGCCCCTCTAATGGCTCATAAGTCCCAACACTGACTAACCCTAAAAGTCAACAAAAGTCAACGGTCAACATTGACCGGACTCGCCGAGTGCACTAGAGTGACTCGGCGAGTACATGCCTGTCCTCCTCGCCCCTGTCCTCACTTGACTCGCTGAGTCAACCCTATACTCCATGGGTCGCCACAGGTCACGAGTCGCGGGGCAACCCGACTCGACTCGTCGAGTCCCTTATGGGCTCGACGAGTTCCTCCCATGAAAACTCTCAAAAGATCTCTTGAGGTCAGATCTGATTCACCAAACAGTAGATCCATCCTTCTAACACTCGAAAGTCACGTAAAGGTTCAAACTTTACGTTCATGCAATGCTTATAAGACCAAAAATGGAGGAATAACCTTTTAAATGTGATTTTACTCTCAAGGCTCACATGAAACCTCACAAAGCTGGAAGCTTGGGACCTTTTGGACCTCTCAAGGTCCAGATCTATCATCTATACTCAAAGGGACCCCCTATGCTTCACAATCTAACTCAAAATGGTGCAAAGGAAGCCCTAGATCATAGATCTTAACCCAAAACATAAAAGGAGTTCGATTAGATACCTCAACAGCGTAGATCTGAACTTGAAAACTCTGGATCCACAGCTCCCTTGACCTCCTCTTGCTGGAAACAACTTCTCCTTTGCTAAGTTACACCAAAATAGATCAATATGGCTTTATCTCCCTCTCAACTCGCTCAAGCTCTCAAGGGGTACTCTCTCTGGACAGGTAGCCGCAAATGGAGGCCATAAAGGCCTTTAAATAGGGCTCAGGCCCTGAGATTTAGGGTTTCATTTTACAGCGCGGACTCGCCGAGTCCACGCATCGACTCGCCGAGTCCATTCATTAAATCCAGTCAGCATTCGCGGTCCTACTCGACGAGTCTACGACTCGACTCGTCGAGTCCCTTTCTTTTCTCAAAAATAAATGATAAAATATAATACCTGGAATTCCGGATGTTACAATTCTCCCCCGCTAGAATCAGACTTCGTCCTCGAAGTCTTGCCCCACAAACAACTCTAGATGCTGCTCACGCATCTCTAACTCCGGCTCCCAAGTCAGCTCGGACCCCCTCCGATGTTGCCACTGGACCTGCACCAGGGACACCTCCTTGTTCCTCAGAACCTTGATTTTCCGATCCCGGATCGTGATTGGCCTCTCAGCATAATTCAGGCTCGCATCCACCTGAATATCCTCCAGTGGTACCACCACCGACTCGTCGGCTATGCACTTCCTCAACTGAGATACGTGGAAGGTATCATGAATCTGGCTCAACTCCGCAGGTAGCTCCAATCGATATGCTACTCTACCTACCCTCGCAGTCACCCTGAACGGACCGATGTACCGGGGCCCCAACTTGCCCCTCTTCCTGAATTGGATCACTCCTTTCCAAGGAGATACCTTCAGGGGGTACGAAATCTCCCACCTGGAACTCAAGCTCGGATCGTCGCCTATCCGCATAACTCTTCTGGCGATTCTGAGCTGTCAATAACCTCTGTCTAACCTGCTGTATCTGCTCTGTTGTCTGAAGCACTATCTCAGTGCTACCCATCACACGCTGCCCTACCTCTCCCCAGCAAATGGGAGTCCGACACCTCCTCCCATACAACAAATCGAAGGGAGGCATACCAATGCTCGAATGGTGGCTGTTGTTATAGGAAAACTCAGCCAATGGTAGGTATGTGTCCCAGCTCCCTCCGGAGTCCAACACACATGATCGAAGCATGTCCTCGAGCGTCTGAATCGTCCGTTCACTCTGTCCGTCCGTCTGGGGGTGGTAGGCGGTACTGAAATGCAACCTCGTACCTTAACTCCTCGTGGAACTTCTTCCAGAACCTGGAAGTGAAACGTACATCTCGATCCGACACAATCGAGATCGGCACCCCATGTCGCGATACCACCTCCCTCACATACAACTCTGCCAGCCTCTCGGCAGAAGAGCTCTCACTGATAGAAAGGAAATGCACGCTCTTCGTCAGCCGGTCGACGATCACCCAAATTGCATCGACACCCCGTGCGGTCCTCGGCAATTTGGTGATAAAATCCATAGAAATCTGTTCCCACTTCCATTGGGGAACCTCAAGTGGCTGCAACTTGCCATGCGGACGCTGGTGCTCGGCCTTAACCCTGCAACAGGTCAAGCACCTCTCAACAAACCATGCTACATCTCTCTTCATACAGGGCCACCAATAGTCCCTCTTCAGGTCCAAATACATCTTAGTGGCCCCGGGATGGATCGAGAACCTCGACCGGTGCGCCTCCTCCATCAAAGTGGCGTGCGTCCCGCCTGCATACGGCACCCAAATCCGACCCTGAAAGGTCATCAGCCCACGACTATCGGTAACAAACTCAGGTACCTGCCCAATCACCCGCTCTCTCTTGCGGTTCTCCGGTCTCACGGCCTCTGCCTGGGCCTCCCGAATGGTGTCCAACACCGGAGTCATCACTGTCAATCGCATACAAGTGTCTCGAATCGGGGGACTCTCCGCC